ACCATAACTTTGTTTTCTATGTCTGTGGGTCTATTTCTCTTTTGTAAATAAGTTCATTTGTATAATTTTTTTAAGGTTTTCCTTGAATTTCTATTTCATTTAATACATTTCAGTACATATAGTTTTCTGACTAATATATTTTCCCTATAGAGCTATTAATCAGGAAACTTGATCAAAATAAGTATACTCTTTCTCGTACTCATTAATACTGCAATCCCTGCTCTCTCATGGTTCTCTTTGCTTGGATATAACTCGGCCTGATCTACTCTGAACCGTGCTGTGCCTTTTTTTTTTTTGTTTTCTTTTTGCGGTACGCGGGCCTCTCACTGTTGTGGCCTCTCCCGTTGCGGAGCACAGGCTCCAGACGCACAGGCCCAGCGGCCATGGCTCACGGGCCCAGCTGCTCCGCAGCATGTGGGGCCTTCCCGGACCGGGGCACGAACCCGTGTCTCCTGCATCGGCAGGCGGACTCTCAACAAATGCGCCACCGGGGAAGCCCCGTGCTGTGCCTTTTATATAACAGCTTTATTGGGATAGAAGTCACATGTCCTGAGATTCTCCCATGGTAAGTGCCCAGCTCCTGGGTTAGCATATGCAGAGTTGTGCAACCATCACCACTGTATAGGTCTGTGTGAAAAGAAGAAAGTGTTAAGATCGTGGTACTCTTTTTAAAAAAAAATAAATTTACTTATTTATTTATTATTTTTTGGCTGCGTTGGGTCTTCGTTGCTGCACGTGGGCTTTCTCTAGTTGCGGTGAGCAGGGGCCACTCTTCGTTGCGGTGTGCGGGCTTCTCATTGCGGTGGCCTCTCCTGTTGCAGAGCACAGGCTCTAGGTGCGCAGGCTTCAGTAGCTGTGGCACGCGGGCTCAGTAGTTCTGGCTCACAGGCTCTAGAACACAGGCTCAGTAGTTGTTGCTCGCGGGCTTAGTTGCTCCGCCGCATGTGGGATCTAATTCCCTGACCAGGAATCAAACCCGGGACCCCTGCATTGGGAGCACAGAGTCTCAACCACTGTGCCACCAGGGAAGTCCCTATTTGTTTATTTTTACTATTATTATTTTCTTTGGCCACACCACGCGGCTTGCAGGATCTTTGTTCCCCGACCAGAGATTGAACCCGCGCCCCCTGCAGTGGAAGTGCGGAGTCTTAATCACTGGACCGCCAGGGAAGTCCCAAAAAAATATATTTTAGAAAATGAGAAACTCATATTGCCAGATATTAAAATGACTCTAACTTCATAAGGTACAGTAAAACTGGAGGTGGGATAGGCAAATTCCTGGAAAAGCCAGAAATGGACCCCTGTGTAAATAAGTAACATTTCTGAGGCGGGAGAGTCATATGGTGTTGGAACAGGGGATTCACTTATTATTTAAAAAATAAAAAATTTGGGCTTCCCTGGTGGTCTAATGGTTAGGAATCCGTGCTTCCATTGCAGGAGGCGCGGGTTCAATCCCTGGTTGGGGAACTAGGATCCTGCGTGCTGCGGGGTGTGGCCAATAAATAAATAAATAAATAAATAAATAAAAATGCATCGAACATTGGAGCACCTAAATATTAAATAAATAAATAAAATTTAAAAAAATAAAAATTTCTCTAGAGCCTTTCCTTTCACCACACATGGAAATTAAACTCTTTAGTTTACCCGTATTTAATATTAAAAAAAAAAGAAACATGGAGAACAAGAAGAAAACAGAGGTGAATATTCACATAAAGGCCTTCCCCAGCTCAAGTTTATAAGCTCATCACCAGGGGTAGAAACCATCAGGGAAAAGGTTGACCAAAAATATGAAAGTTCAAGAATAAAGGAAAAGTGGATATATGTGTATGTATAACTGATTCACTTTGCTGTACCGCAGAAAATAGCACAACATTGTAAATCGACTATACTCCAATCAAAATTAAAAAAAAAAAGAAGAAGGGAAAAGTATGTCAAAAGGATCATAAATAATGTTAAGGACAAACAAGAAACCAGGAGAAATTTGTGTAACATATATGACAAATTATATATAGGAAAGCTTTTATAAACAAGTAAAAAACATTAATAAGCCCATATGTAAAATGTTTTCAGAAACCAATAAAAGACCACTTCCCAATGGAAAAATGGACAAGGGATATGAATTGGCAATATCTCGGTCAACAATGAATTACTACTAGGGAGTTTGGGATTGACATGTACACACTGCTATATTTAAAATGGATAACCTATCAGGACATAGTGTGTAGCACAGGGAACTCTGCTCAATATTATGTAACAACCTAAATGGGAAAAGAATTTGAAAAAGAATAGATACATGTATATAGATAACTGAATCACTTTGCTGTACACTTGAAACTAACACAACATTGTTAATCAACCATGCTCCAATATAAAATAAAAAAATTAAACAAACAAAATAATGAATTACTACAACGAGGATATTCCACCTCAATCGATAAGTGACTCAAGGCCTAAGTCCCAGTGTTGGGAGGAGGATGCAGGAAATGGGAACCACCAGACACCTCGATGGGGGTGTAAATTGGTTTCTCCTATCTGCAGGGTACTGCACAACACATACAAAAATACCCTACAACGTAATTCCCTCTGACACCAACAGCAATATTGGCTATGTCAATAGTTAAGGATGTTTAAGGACTTCCCTGGTGGTCCAGGGGTTAAGGCTCTGTGCTACCATTGCAAGGGGCATGGGTTCGATCCCTGGTCAGGGAACTAAGATACCACATGCTGCTTGGGGTGGCCAAAAATTTGAAAAAAAAAATTGAAAAAAAAATTAAGGATGTTTATAAAGATTCAGCTAGAGGAATATTTATCATAGCTATAAAATAATGGCAACAACCCAGAGGGGCTTCATTTGGTTCTCAACAGAAGGACAAGTCTATCTGGGCTTTTTCAAATCCTCCATCTGTCCTCCATGACCCCACATGGCCTCTCCGTTTGGTGGTCCAGGTGAAGACCAATTATCAAATTCCAGATTTCACCATCGAGTTTTATGAACTGGAAAGGATTCAAATCATCTCTACCTGACCTTCGTTCTGACTCAGGAACTGCTTCTAGAAGCAGTGCCAACAAACGTGGCAGAAATGGGTGGCCGTGGAGACACCACCGACAAGGGCTTAGTGAGATGGAGGAGCTGAGACACTTTCCTTTTATTTTTTATTTTAATTTAAAAAATATATTTATTTATTTATTTGGCTGCGCTGGATCTTATTTGGGGCATGTGGGATCTAGTTCCCTGACCAGGGATCGAACCCGGGCCCCTTGCATTGGGAGCGTGGAGTTTTAGCCACTGGACAACCAGGGAAGTCCCCATGTTCCTTTTAGTTGATCTTGAATTAGAAGTGAAACAGCCACCTGTGGCTAGTGGCTGCCATACTGGACAGCATGGGACGCTAGGACAATGCCTGCCCCAGTTTGGAAGTTTTCAGTAACACGTGGCTCCTGATTTTCCAAAATGGCTCTACTAAGCAGTTCTCCTCTTCCTGGAAGAACATCCCTTCCAGGTACACCAGAGGTTGCCTGCTTTGTCACCTCCATTGGGATGATACGAATCCACAGCCACGTCTAAGTGGCAGCCTCTCCCATGCTGACCGGGAAGGAACCGGGCCAGCCGGTCTTGTACAAGCAACACAGCTGGTTTCTTCTACCACTGCCCCGGCGGACCAGACTTCCAGACACCAGTTCCTGCCCCCCACTACCTCTCCTGGTTGGACAAGTTTTGGGGTGAACTGTCCTGTTAAGACGAGTGATTCTCAGGCCCGTGGAGGGAGGAGTTGCTCAGAAGCTGGCCTGGTTAATTCTCGCATTCCAGGCAGCCCAAGTCAGCAGGTCCCAGGCATTCTGTGTGCGAAAATTTTCCTTCTAAAGGGTGTGTGAGTTTCCCATGGCAGCTCTAACAAGTCACCACAAACTCAGTGGCTTAAATAATACGAATGTATTCCCTTAAAGTACTGGAGGTAGCAAGTCCAAAACGGGTCTCACGGGGCTAAATCCAGGCGTGGGCAGGGCTGGTCCTTCCGGAGGCTCCAGGGCAGCATCGGTTCCCGCCTTTTCCAGCTTCCAGAGGCGCCGCATCCCTGGCTCGCGGCCCCACCTGCATCCTCAGAGCCCGCAGTGCAGCATCTCCCGTCTCTCTCTGCCTCTGACCCTCCCGCCTCCCTCTTATAAGGACCCTGAGATGACGCTGGGCCCTCAGGGAATCCAGGGTCACCCCCATCTCAGGGGCTTCAACTTAATCCCACCTGCAAAGTCCCCCCGGCCCCGTGAGGTGACACATCCACAGGTCCTGGGACCGGGATGTGGATGGCTTCGGGGTCTGTTGTTCCGAATCACAGCTCCCCCAAACTTTAAAATGGTCCCGGAAACCTCTGTGGCGCATTTGCAAAGTCAAGGGGTAAGGAAACAGCAGCTTCTTTAGAAGGTATTTACAAGTGATGGGGAGTCCCCGCAAGTCACTCTGTCTGTCCGATGGAGACGGCACGCCCTCTAGGGGCAGGAAGGTCTGGAGCACAGGCCCCAACCCGCCTGGCAAAAGACCATCCTGCCAGCCCCACAACCCCTAAGAGTAAGTAACCCGTTCCCATTCCTCACGTATAAGAGATTTTGGGGGTAAACTCATGTGTCAAGGTCACAGGATAGTTAGGACGGGGCTGAGACAGAAAACACCCCTCTGTTCCCACGTGGTTCAAAGTTTTCTGGAACCTTCTTTACACAGCAAAGAGGCAACAGTTAAAATCTCGTTTGCTGAGTGCTGAAAGCAGAAACGGGAGAGGGAGTGGGCGCCGTCTCAACCTGCTTTCCAGACTCTGGTCCTCATCAGCCCCGCCCTGTACCCTGTGAAATTCTAATCCCACTGATATTCTGTGCATCTGTTTAGCTACTTGGGACACTCTGCGGGGGCGGGGGGCACAAACTGTTGTGACATCTAAGATTTCTTTGCCACTTGGGGATGTGTCCCAATGCCAGGCCCTCCCACCAGGAAGACAGAAATGACAACCAGCAGGTGCAGGTAAGGAGACACGTGATTTATTCTGATGGTCCTGTGGGAACACCCATGGGCACGGGAGGGTGGGCAGGGGAGCCCCCCCCCTCCAGCCCCGCCACCTTTCCAACCTGGCTGGTGACCTGAGTGGCACAGTGGTTACGGCGTTTGGTCGTGGTTCGGTTCTGCATTTAAGAGGAGCTACACGCGACCGGGCGGTTTCCTGCAGTCTTTCCAGGACTCCGGGAGCAGGACCCCAGCAACTTCTGGAAGGACCGAGGCCCAGGTCGTGTTAATTGCACTTGTTGGGTGTTGGTGTCGGGTGGTGGCCCTGTCTCCGAGCGAGCGTCCCAGAAACCCAGAGGTACTCAGAGCTGGTGTGGTCCAGGTGGGCAGGACCGCCACGGCGAAAGGCCACGGAGGATGCTGTGCGCGGATGGGGCGTGAGCGGGCGGGGCCCCCAAGCTTCTGCGGGGAGACGGTGCTGGGATTTGGTCCTGGAGCCACGGAGGGCCACGCTGACAAAGGGTTTCGATATGAAGCTGGCAGGCGTGTGAAGCAAGGCTAAGTCTGGCTAAACATTCGGCAAAACTCAAAGGTCCCAAACCAGGGAGAGGCGTGCCCTGGCAGAATCGTACTGCTATTCACGACGGAAAGGGGACATTTTTCTAGAGGGGAGGGGGATCACTCCTTGTAGGTAAAAAACTTTTTTATTCCGGTAACAGCTCATAGTGGTCGTAAATGCAACTAGACGAATTCAATCTTTTATGCGACGTGAAGGGGCCCCAGGACACCTGGGATGTGGGCGTGGGCTCGGGAAGCTGGCACAGGAGCCTAAGGGTCCCGGAGAAACAGTGGGACGGAAGTGGCTTGGGGGGAGGACGCCGGGAGGATGCAAGCCGAGCGCTCGTACCACTCGGAACCAGGCCTGGGCCGCAGAGGGGGGCACTGCGGGGTCTCAGCCTCGCTCATGGGGGCCTGACCACCCACGGCCGAGCAGGCGGGCTGGTGCAGGAGACGGACCCGAGTGGGGCCAGCCTCTGGGCAGGTGCAAGCGGTCTGCAAATGAAGTGGGTTTTCCCGGTTGCTCACAACACGTGGAATCACAGAGTTCAAGTTCTATCTTATCTCCCCCATGCTGGCCGAGGAGACTGGGGCTCAGGGAGGCTCAGACCCATGGGTGCTGCCACCTTGGGATCGGAGAGAGGACGCAGCCCAGACAGCACAGAATTTGCTGGGCTAGAAAATACCGGTCCCTGTTCTGGAGACGTGGCCCTCAAGTAGGACTGTTCCCCAGGCGCGGACTCGGTGACTACGGGGCCAAGGGGCTCTCAGTGGCACATCCGTGCGGTCATTTCTTTCTGTTAAGAACAAGCAGGACATCAGCAAATCACACAGGAAATCGAGGGACGCAGTCTCATGGGAGCCCTCAGGCCTCACTTAAAGCAAATCTTACGAAATACAGAGCAGACGGCAGCGCGCCTCAGGCTGGGGCGCAGACTCTTTCTGTGAAGGGTCCCACAGTCCCTGTGTCCAGAAAGAGCTAACTCTAAGCATCAGTGTGGGACAAATGGCCATGCGATTAGGGCGCTGAGTTAACCAAACAAAAGTGAGCTGATCACAAAACTGCACACAATGACTTTCAGTATTTGGTGAGATTCACATAAAAGGAACTGTGGGAAAGAGGCATTCACCTCCACAAGGGTGCACAACCCCACCTCTAGTTCCAGAACGTTCCACTACCCCAGAGGAAAACCCCGACCCCACTAGGCATGCGCACTGTAACTTTAACTCCGGAAAAATGTTTACTGATAGGCAGAGCCTGCAAGGGAATATACAAAAATGAGAAAGTTCTATGAAGTTGTTTTCAGAGAGTTTTAAAAGTTGTAAAAGAATAGAGGCTGGGGCTTCCCTGGTGGCGCAGTGGTTAAGAACCCACCTGACAATGCAGGGGACACGGGTTTGAGCCCTGGGCTGGGAAGATCCCACATGCCGCGGAGTAACTAAGCCCGTGCGCCACAACTACTGAGCCCACATGTTGTAACTACTGAAGCCCGCGCGCCCAGAGCCCATGCTCCGCAACAAGAGAAGCCACCACAATGAGAAGCCTGTGCACCGCAACGAAGAGTAGCCCCCGCTCGCTGCAACTAGAGAAAGCCCACACGCGGCAACGAAGACCCAACACAGCCAAAAATAAACAAATAAATAAAATAAATTTTTTAAAAAAAGAAATAAATAAAGTGGGTTAGTGGTTGCAGGGGCTGGGGAGGAGGATGGGGGTGACTGCTGATGGGGGCGGGGCTTCCTTTGGGGTGATGGAAGGAAGGTTCTGGAACTGGATAGAGGTGATGGTTGCCCAACCCCGTGAATGTGCTGAACACCACTGAATTGTTGGCTTCACGATAGCTAATTTTACGTTATGCAAATTTTACCTCAATTAAAACCAAAAAAATCCTTGTTCTCCGCCGGCAGGGGACGGGGGTGGGTGGAGGAGGTGTAGGTGGGGACAGTCACCAGAGGCCCATCTGTTTCTCCCACAGGGAAGCGGGGGCAGCTGCAGGCAGTGACCCGCCCGCCCGCGCCCCGATGGGCATGCAGCCCCAGGACAGGGGGCACTCGCCTCCCCACGATGCCCCGACCCGCTCACCAGCGGCTCCAGCTCCTTGGTGTCGATGAGGCCAAACTCCGTGACGAAGTAGTAGAAGTGCTTATAGCAGGTGTTGACGTGCGCCTCCGAGCCCAGCTGCGCGATGCGGTCGAAGTGGTGGATGTAGACGTGCACGAACACGCGGAAGAGCCGCGACAGGATCTTCTTCACCACCTGCAGGAAGTTCTTGGGGAACGGCGTGCCTGCAGAGGCGGCAGGGGCAGCTCAGCTAGGATGCGCCCCCAGCTGCAGGCGCGAACCCCTCTCTGCGGGACCCCGGGCCTGGGAAGCCCATTTCTTGGCTCCCTAACAGTGCCTGGGGGCGGGGTGGGGTGGGGCGGGGTGCCGGCAGATAGAGTGCCAGGACTGCAGCCCCCGCGGCCCAGCACCTGCTGGACGTGTCCCGCCCCGCCCCACCCCGGTCTGGCCAGATGTGGACACGCCATCCCACTTCCGGTGGCTCACAGGTTTCTGTGTGTGTCTGTCTCCAGTTACGTTTATTTTTTGGAATAGAACTGGAGAACCCATAAAAACCTATGTTTTGGCCTTTGACATTTTTCACTTAATACACTTCTCTCTCTCCAGTGTATGTTTCATGACATCACTTAAATTTGAATGTACATATCCTAACTTAATTGCATGCATACACTATATTGCACTTTCTTGTCCAATTACTGAATTTAATACGTTTTATTTCTATTTTTAAGTGTATTTATTTTGGCCACTCTGGGTCTTTGCTGTGGCATGCTGGCTGTAGAGTGCCTGGGCTCAGTAGTCGCAGCGCGTGGGCTTAGCTGCGGCACGTGGGATCTTAGTTCCCTGGCCAGGGATCGAACCCGGGCCCCCTGCACTGGGAGCGTGGTGTCTCAGCCACTCTGCCACCAGGAGGCCCCTCTGTTTTCTAAATTGCGGTGACACACACGTACTGTGGGACTGGCGGACTCAGCCCTCCTCCGGTGTTAGTCTGTGCCCCCCACGTGCTCGCCCGCTCCCACCTCGTGTCCTCTTCGTCCCACAGGGCAGATGCCACGCACTCGCTCCACCTGACCGGCACTACCAGGGGGCTCCCCAGGACCAGGGTGGACTGGCCCCATTTCTTCAAGAGAGGGGCTCCAGAGCTGGCAGCCCAGGGGGAGGAGCACAAAGGTGCCACGAAGCGCGAGGAAAGCCATGGCGCACAAGGCACACGCTTCCGGAAGATGGAGCGGTCAGCTGTTGGACGGTGCTGTGCTTCACAGCCCTGTGGTCGGCGAGCAAAGGCCCCAAAGACATACAGGCAAGTGCCGGAGATCCGTGCGCAGGGCGGCGTCACGGGATGGCGTCTGCAGTGAGATGGGGAACAGCCTGGCCCAAGTGGGAGGTGGAAGACGAGCCCACACGGCGGCTCACACCAGGGAAAGGTCCCAGGACTGTGGAGGCACGAGGCAAACGGGAAAGACGCTCCCACGAACGTGCGCCTTTCCAGCTCCCGTCCTGCTCCCTCCTGCGTGTCCTGGTGGGTGTGACAGCTGATGGGACTGGTATTCCATCGGCCGGAAGCGCCTGTGAACGTCTGTTACAGGTGGACAGGGCCCAGCGGCTCCAGGGATCTACCTCTGCGGAAGGTTCGTTCAGCATCAATGAGGCCTCTGGGTTTTCTCCCTCCATCCAACCGGAGAAAAAAGGCTAAAACAAAAGGCATGCTCCACTCTCGAGAGACGACCACGTTCACGGGGCATCTCAGGAGCACACGCCGTCTTGAAGGCCTGTGAAAGCCACTTGGTGGGACAGTGGTCTCCAGGGCATGGGGATCCCCATAAGGGAAGTCCCCCTAACAGTGTCAGGAAGTCAGAGGGAGCGCAGAGCCCATGGCAGGCAGAGGAAGGTGAGCACAGGGTGTGGCTGGCACCAGCCACACGGGGTCCTGGGCCCAACGAGGCTAAGGCCCTGCCCTGCCCCCTCTCCTGGGAGAGGGATGCCAGGAGTCACCGAGGTCACCCTGGGCCATCCTGGGTGGAGGGGGAGCGGCAGCCCCGTAGGAGAAAGGCCTAGAAACAGAAGATGCTGGGACTGCATTGCCCACACCTGCCACGATGCCCTCACACGGGGGTCACAAATCCGGCCCACCTCCCACTCCTGTAAATAAAGTTTTATTGGAACGCAGGCCCACTCCTTATGCACCCTTGTCTATTTATATACCGTCCATGACAGCTTTCAGACTACACAGCAGATCCACGTAGCTGAGACAGACCATCTAGAGGCAAAAACCGGAAAGATTTACTGTCTGACCCTTTACGGGAAAAGTCTGTGAAAGAACGTTTCTTTTACGGGAAAGAACCTGGGTCTAAGCTCAAGAGTGTGGGCAGGTGGCTTTGGGGCCTAAGTGGATGCTCAGGTGTGACTGGAACCAGCACGGAAGGTAGGATGAACTTTGGACCCGCCCTTTCTTTGCCCGCCCACAAATTTCACCCTGAGGAGCGAGGCAGGCTCTGCGCAGCACCACAGACCAGCAAAAAGAAGCATTCCAGTCTGTGTGCCTGGCTGGGGGTCGAACCTAGGTGAGGGGCGAAGCTGGCCCCAGGGTCCGTGGACAGGGCTGGAAGGTGTGGCCTGGCTGGGCCAGGTGGCCCGAGGAAGGCGTCAGCAGCCACAGAACCCACTGTGGCCGTGCGGCAGAGGTCTCTGACCCCTGCTGGGCAGCTGAGTGATATCTGACAAGGTCATTTCTCTCACCCTTCTCGTGCTTTCCTCTTTGGTAGGATTACTAGAATTTGCTTCCGTGGGCGAGGCACTGACTAGAGGCCCTCAGGGTCTGAGTTCTAGGATGTGGACCGCTCAGGATCTGAGGAGGCTTCAGGGGGTCCTAGCAAGGCAGGGACTCAGGATGACACAGAGCATGTGTAGACGTGGACCCGGCAACCTGATGCGGGGCTGCCCAGGAATCTCTATTCTGGGCAAGTGATGATTCCGGGATGGCCTTTTCCCAGATGAGTCCCTGAAAACCCCACCAGGGTCAGCCTGGTTCAGTGTACCGACGGCGGGCGAGAAACTTAACTAGGCACTGGGCACGCCAGCGGCCAAGAGCTGGGCCCGAGGCCTGCGCACTGGCCAGTGGTTTGCCAGGAAGCCGTGTCGCACTGGTGAATGTGAGAACGACATCTACCATCGCCCGGGGCTGACAGGACAAGTCGCCCAGGGCTGCTCAGTGGCTCAGAACAACTCATACGGGTTCTCCCACAGCTCCTGAGGCCAGAGTCCACATGGTGCCCTGGGCCGACGTGCAGGTGTGGGCGGGGATGGGTCCTCCGGGGGCTCCAGGGAGAACCCGTTCCTGCCTTATCTGGGCTCACAATCCCTTCCTCCTCCTGTTGCTTCACTGCCTTCTGCTCTCCTGGGTGTCTAGTCTCCCTCCATCTCCCTCTTGTTAGGACCCTTGTGATGACATTTAGGGCTCACCCAGATAATCCAGAATAATCTCTCCATCTCAAGATCCTCAACTTGAAGCAAAATGTAGCCCCTCCACACACGGGAGCATCACTCAGCCGTGCAAAGGCGGGAAGCCCCAACACTCGCTACCACGTGGACGGACCCTGAGAACACGATGCTCAGTGAGAGAAGCCAGACACAGAACACAAAGTGGGGTGGTCCCACTGATGGGAAACGTCCAAAACAGGCAAATCCAGAGACAGAGTGGATTCCTGGTTGTCAGGGGCTGGGGAGGGGGTGGGGAGTGACTGCTGACGGGGACGGGCTTCTTTTAGAGTGATGGGTTTATTTATTTTTTTTTATTACTGTTATTTTTAAAATTTTTGGCCACACTATGCAACATGTGGGAGCTTACTTCCCCGACCAGGGATCGAACCCGCACCCCCTGCATTACAGGTGGAGTCTTAACCACTGGACCACCAGGGAAGTCCCAGGGTGATGGGTTTAGATAGAGCTGATAGCTTCACGAAGCTGTAACTGTCCTAAAATGACACCAAACTGTGCACTTTAAGTGGGTGGGTTTTACAGGGTGTGGATTCCATCCTGATAAAACTGTTATGTAAAGAACATGAGGACTTCCCTGGTGGCGCAGCGGTTAAGAATCCGCCTGCCAATGCAGGGGACAAGGGTTCGAGCCCTGGTCCAGGAAGATCCCACATGCTGCGAAGCAGCTAAGCCCATGCGCCACAACTACTGAGCCTGCACTCTAGAGCCCGCAAGCCACAACTACTAAGCCCACATGCCTAGAGCCCGTGCTCCAGAAGAGAAGCCACCGCAATGAGAAACCCGCGCACCACAACGAAGAGTAGCCCCAGCTCGCCACAACTAGAGGGAGCCTGCGCGCAGCAACGAAGACCCAATGCAACCAAAAATAAATAAAGAAAAATAAAATTAAAAAAAAAAAAAAAAAGAACATGAAAGTGCAGAGACTCACCGACGTTGGTGGGGAAGACGTCCTCATTGTTGATCTGCACCTCGATCCAGTCCATGAGCAGGTCCATGTACCGGGGGGCCGACAGTGCCGTGGGCCGCCGGAACCTGTGCTCGTCCTGCCAGCGGTACTCATACTTGGGGCCGCCTGACATGACGGGGCAGGAGCGCTCGGTGCAGCCGTCACTGATGGTGCCGTAGATGAGGTTGACGCGGTTGAAGAAGTCGACCACGTGCACGGCCACCCAGTCGTTGAGCTCCTCGCCGGCGGGCAGCTGCACGGCCAGCTTCAGGTCTAGCCCCGCATTCAGCGATGCCTGCGCCTTCTTGTGCAGCTCGAAACGCTGGGTGCCCGGCTCGAACTTGCGCTTGGGCCGGAAGGTCTTGTCCTTGTTGAAGACCTGCTTCAGGAAGGGGTTGGACATCTCCGCTGCGCGCTCAGGACGCCCCCCGCGAGGCCTCCACGGGGAGGGCCGGGCGGGACGCTCACGATGCGAAGGTCACCGGGCCCCCGGGTCTCCCCCAGACCTGGAACACACAAAGAGGAAGCACTGTCACCCTTCTCAGAACCCTGTTCTGTAAGCACCGGCGGGCAGACTGGGGACACTCCCGGGACTTCTGGTTTTGAGTTTCACCAAAAGGGCGCACAGCACTGCCCCAGGCACATCCCCCTGCCTCAGAGCAGAAGACACTGAGTCGGGCCCTGCATCATCCTCTCCACGCCTGGACGCTTTCAGTAAAGCGGAGAGAGCTGCTAGCTCCCACACGCTGGCTGAGGGCGGCCCCCACAGGCGAGGTGGTCTCTTCATCTCCACGAAGAGACATCCACAGCCCTGGGACTGGCGAATGGACCTTATCTGGAAGAAGAGACTTTGCAGTCTTCGCAGATGTGACTGGGTTAAGGATCTTGGGATGCCCTCTTCCCGGATTATCCCCGTGGGCCCTAAGTCCAATGATGAGTGTCCCTATAAGAGAAGACAGACACCCAGGGAAAGACCATGTGATAACGGATGCAGAGATGGAGTGATGTGTCTACAGGCTAGGGGACACCAAGGACTGCCAGCACCATTAGAGTCGGGAGAGAGGCCTGGGACATATGCCCCCTCAGAGCCCCAGGGCGAACCGGCCCTGCCCACACAGATCTGGGGCTTCTGGCCTCCGGGACTGGGAGGGGGTACAATCCTGCTGCCTCTCTGATCTTCCCTGTGTCTCGTGTCCCAATCTCGTCACTGGATTAGGGGCCGCCGTGACCCATCGTGACCTCATCTCTCCATTGTGACATCTGCACAGACTCCATTTCCAAGGGGGGGATATGAATTTGGGGGGACACTATCCACCCCAGTGCACTAAGTAAGATGCCTCTATGAGCTGTCTGGACTCGTGACTGACGCCGCCCGTTTTGGGGGATGAGGCCCCGATATAGGGGCTGCAGCTGCCATGGCCCTGCCGTGATGCCCGGTCCCCCCCGGCTCCTCCCGAGTCTTTGCTCTGCACCGTCTCCTCTGTTACAAACCCCACCTCGGAGGGCAGGAAAGGATGAAATCGAGCACAAGGAGCTCAGGTCGGGCTCACGCTCGGGACTGGTCACGGCGCCATCCCCGTCCCCATTGCTGCTACGATGACAGCGCTGGCCCGCCGCCCCTGGCTCTCCATCTCCGGCCCAGGAGATGCGCTTTCCCGGGAGTGTGGACCTGGCCGGCACGGGGGTGTCCTGGGCGCTCACCCAGGAGCAGCCACAGAAAGGGAAGTCGGCCTAGAGGGGAAGCGGAAGCAGAGCCTCTGCACCGCCCAGGCCGGGCTGCACCGCACGCACCCATGCACCCCCGTATGACGAATGACCACTTATCTGGAACGTTTTAATAAATCCCTCGGCAGTTGGTTTCTGGGCCCTGGGACCAGCAGCCTTGTCAGGTGGCCCGCCCTCCAGACTAGCACACTGTGTGGCAAACTGCCAGAAACTGAGGGGCTTTCAACAGCCCTCCTTCATTATCAGAATGTTCTGGACGTCCCACATCTGAGCCGGGCCTCATGTGTCCTTGAGTAGGGACCTGTCACCCCCCAGGCCCAGGGCGGCCCTGCAGAGAGGACGTCAATGCCACCAGGACGGCCTCAGTGACAGAGAAGCCGTTCCAGGTGGGCAGGCCCGAGGCCGGCAGGTCTGGTCACCCCGACCTTGGAGGACCTGTGTCCGCGGGTCCAGGCGGAGCAACCGGGATGGGGAGGATCTCAGCAGACAGTAAGAGCTGAGGCACGACCCACCACGTCCTGTAGGCCAGCGTCTCCTGCAGGCTCAGCCCTTCCACAGCTCAGAGGTCTGGAAACCCCCGCAGGCCCAGGGCTCCTGGCCTGGCCTTCAGCAGCTGCCTCGAGAATGTGAGCCTCTGGGTTAATTCCGGAGGCTGGAGAGATGATGTCTAGGGCTCAAACCAGCCTTCTAGCCAGGGCGGTCCTGCCCCCAGGGCAGCAGAGCCAGGAGGATGGAGACTTTAAGTTATGAGAATTTACAAAGAAAAACATTGCTCTGGCCTAAAGGGAGATGGTGCTCGAGCTGAGCCTGGAGAGCAGATCCTTCTGGAGCCCAGGCGTGGGGAGGGTGGGGCCCGATGGAAGGGGGCGGAGGAGACCCCAGCGTCTCTCCCCTCAGGGCGGGAGTGACCCTGACCCTACCTCCTCCTGTGTCCTCAGTGTGTCCACAGGGCCTGCTCACAGAGGGCTCAAAAAGAATCCAATGTGAAAGCATGGAGGAGGCCTCCCTGCCCTGGTTAGGGGAGAGGGCGTGGTCAACAGGATAAGGGCCCCAGAGACACCCCCGTCCTGGTCCTGGGCCCCGAGGACATGTCACCTCAAACGGCAGAGGGAACTTTGCAGACAGAATTAAGTTGAGGCCCCTGAGACAGGGATGACCCTGGATTCCCTGGGGGGTCCAGTGTCATGACTGGGTCCTTATAAGAGGGAGGCAGGGGGTGGGGGGGGCATGTCAGAGGCAGAGAGACACGGGAGATGCTGTGCTGCTGGCTGTGAGGATGCAGGAGGGGCCGCAAGCCAGGGGTGCGGCGCCTCTAGAAGCTGGAAAAGGCGGGAACCGATGCTGCCCTGGAGCCTCCGGAAGGACCAGCCCTGCCCACACCTGGATTTAGCCCCGTGAGGCCCGAGTCAGACTCCTGACCTCCAGAACCGTGAGATAATAAACCTGTGTAGTTTTGGGCTACAAAGTCTGTGGTGACTTATTACAGCAGTCTTAGGAAACTCAGACAGAGGCTACGCAGATAATCCTAATGAGCGCTGGGCAAAATAACTTGTAGTTGATGTAACTGGATCTGGTTACATGTGGGCCTGGGATCTTCTGTTCTCCCCGCTGGCAGGCAAAGCCCGCTCACGCTTCTGGGCCCCGCTGGACACTACGGGTGTGGGAAGGTCAACTCAAGGCAGCATGAACTGTGCAAAACACAGGAGCTGAGCATCCGGGGATGGAGCCAGATGGACGGGAGGAGCTCCAGTGAAGAGCGGAGGGACCCACCTCCCCCCATAAGGACGGCCGTAATCAAAAAGGACAATCAATAGGGCTGTTGAGGACGTGGACCAGTCGGAACCCTCCTGCACTGCTGGTGGGAACGTAAAATGGGGCCACCGCTGTTGAAAACAGCCTGGCAGTTACCAAAACACGGTTAAACCTCACCCAGCGATTCTCTCCTAGGTGCCCAGCCAAGAGAAGTGACAACACATGTCCACACAAAAACCTGTGCATGTGCCCAGCAGCATGATTCACAACAGCCAAAAGGCAGACACCCAAATGCCCAGCAACGGGTGCACTGATCCACACACGGGAACATCACTCAGCCCTGAAAAGGGGTGAAGCTCTGACACTTGCTACCACGTGGATGGACCCTGAGGACACGATGCTCAGTGAGAGAAGCCAAACACAGAAGGACCCACTGTGTGTGATTCCATTGACGGGAAACGTCCAGAACGGGCCAATCCACAGACACAGAGAGTGGGTTCCTGGTTGTCAGGGGCTGGGGAGGGGATGGGGAGTGACTGCTGTTGACGATGGGGCTTCTTCTGAGGTGATGGAATGTTCTGGAACTAGACACAGATGGTGGCTGCAAACGTTGTGAATGTACTGAAAACGCTGGAATGTACACGGGAAACAGGCGGAAAGTCCGGCATGTGAATGACAGTCAGTGAAGCTGCCATTTTGAAAGCAGGGCGCGGGGGACAAGCAGAGCAAGTGCGGGCTGAGCCGCTACCCCAGGCACCATAAAGAACTGAAGCAGTTTCCCTCTCAGCTCAAATCGAGGTCAGCACTACCTGTAAAATCTGTTTACCGTGAAAGGTAACAACACAAGCACGGAAAACTGCATGGGATAAAAGGTGCAGTCACTGATGCGCCACAGAGTGAACACTCGCTGTGTAAGGGCCCCCCGGCAACGCAGCTGGAGGCCACCTGTGCTCTGGAGCAAGAAGGCCCCGTGCCTCGTCCACAGACCAGCAGTGCCTTCGCTTCCTTCCCCAAAGCCATCATCACTTCCTGCCACCTTGGTTAACACCCAGTGAGGCATTCACAGTAACCCTCAGAACAAAACAGAACCCCCACTTTACATGGGAAGACTGAGGCCCAGACCTAGCACTGCTGACATTAGGGCCGTCCCAGGTGCTGTGGGGGGCGGAGCAGCATCCCTGCCCCCATCCCCTCGATGCCAGGAGCTCCCCCCAGTCCCGAAGACCACAGATGTCCCCAGACATGGCCCAGTGTCCCCTGGGGGCAGGACCACCCTAGGTGAGAACCACCAGGTTAGAAGATGGTGACTCAGTACCACTAGTTAATGATTAGTAAATCAGTGCTAAGCCACGCAGCTGGCAGCAGGAGGAGTCGACTCCACACCCTGAACCGTGGCTCCTTCTGCCTGCCACCGCCTCCACAGCCCCACCCCTCTGCTATTCGAGCTTCTGTCCGTCTCATCCCAAACCCAGGGCCAAGTGCCGTCTGGGCCGGGGCTGCTCCCGCACCAGGTGCCTCCACAATGCCTGCAGGCCGGCTGGGTACTTCCGGCTCCGACCCTCCCTGGTTTTGGGGGTGCAGGCAGGGATGCTGCAGGAAGGTGGTGCCTCCGAGAAGGGAATGCAGCTGAGTACAGGGTGCAGCCACAAACGCCCCACCTGCCCGCTTCTCTCCCGACATGGAGGACCTCAGACCCCGCAGGAGGCACTGATTAAAAGAGGCCACCTGCCCCGACCCTCTGTTGCAGAGACTGGCCGTGTCCCCTGCGCCGGGCAGCCAGGACCCCTCTACGCGAGGGCATGGGCGCTGGATGTGTCGCGTAGGGACCCTGCGGCCCCACCTGTGACTGCAAACTTCCCAGGGCACCGTGAACCTGCCCAGGTGATTAATCTGCAAACCAGCCACTCTCAGGCCACTCGGCTGCAGGTCAAGGGACGGTGACCCTGTGTGGACCCACTAGCGACTCAAGCCGTCCTGCCCCGTTCCCACCACCTGCCAGCGGCACAGACTGATTTCAGCCTCCAAACAC